GGGCCACCTCTCGGTGGGGCCCAGCTCTGTGTGGGACTCGGAGCATCTAATTTCAGGCACACCCACCTCGGGAGATGAAACCCTCTTTGATCAGCAGAGCTTCAGCTGCCTGCCCGGCGCGCCAGCAACTCATGCACCAGGCTAACGTCCAGAGCTGTCGGAGGTTTTGGCAGTACACTAGCGTGGCCCTAAAGGGACGCATCAGGACAGGACTCCAAGCCACAAAATATGGCCAGTATGTGACACATGGGTTTGGGGGAAGAGAGGCAAGCAGAACAGAATCTCTGCATTATGGCTGATTTCCCGTCCCCAAGGGAAGCTGGAGCCTTAGTCAAACCCAGACGTAACATTTGAATCAAGGAATATAACTTTTAAAATGTCTTTCGCTAGTTAAAAGGTGGCGGTGGAGGGAATAAAAACCCTCCTGATTGGCCAGAATGCCTGTGCATGTCCTCAGGCAAACTCAAGATGTCCAGATCCCTCTTGGTAGAAGGACACCAACTAACCCTGCTCATGTTCCATATGGATCAGCACTACCTTTAACTCCCCAACACAATTACTCTTATCAATGCAGCCAGTTGGGAAAAGGAATCAAATAATGAAGCTGTACTATCAGCTGCAAACATTCAGAAATCGCGAGTTAGGTCCCCCAAATATCATGAGATTTTAAAATAAATGCATGGCGGGGGGGGGGGTGTTTTCCTTTATTGGCCATCTGCTGTGGGAGTCTTCAAGGATCAGGGGTTCCCAGTTTTTCTCTGCCGTCATAAGGGTTAGCAACGTTGCCATTGTTATTTCATGAAAGTCGAGATTGTCACATCATCACATGAATCCGGCAGCTGGGGCTTTAAGACAAACACTGAACAGCGTGCTAAAAATCAGACGATTTGGTAACATCTTGCGGAAGGCTCTGGCCTTTCCAGATAGGCTGAGCAAAGCAGCCAGAGCTCCCACTGACTATCACAAGGGTGCTCAGCACCTCTGAGAATCAGGCTGTAGGTGGCTTGGGGTGGGGACCTGAAAAATGGAGTGCTTCCAAAACCGAAAACTGCGTTTGAATATTTGGGCCTCCACCTCTGCAAATCAGAGATCATCTCTTGCAAAGCGCTTTAGTGTCTTTGGAAGCAAGGCACTGTATGTACAGTGCTGTAATAGTTAAAGCAACAATCGTGAAGTGTTATTTACTCTTTCTCATAACAGAAGAACTAGGGGCAAAATGAAATGAATGGGCAGCAGGTTTAAAACAAACCAAAGGAAGTATTTCTTCACACAACGCACAGTCAACCTGTGGAACTCCTTGCCAGAGGATGTTGTGAAGGCCAAGACTATAACAGGGTTCAAAAAAGAACTAGATAAATTCACGGAGGATGGGTCCATCAATGGCTGTTAGCCAGGATGGGCAGGGATGGTGTCCCTAGGCTGTGTTTGCCAGAAGCTGGGAGTGGGCGACAGGGGATGGATCACTTGGTGATTCCCTGTTCTGTTCATTCCCTCTGGGGCACCTGGTACTGGCCACTGTCGGAAGAGAGGATACTGGGCTAGATGGACCTTTGGTCTGATCCAGTATGGCCATTCTTATGAAGCCCTTTTGTTTGCCTTTTGCTGGGGATCTGTAGCTCGATGCCACTGACCGTATTATTAAATTGTTGGATGCCTTTTTGAAATGCAGCGCTCCCCGTGCGATACCGTCCCAGGCCTGTTAACCACTCTTTGTGGGCTTTACAACCTAAAACCCAGATTCTGCAAACCACTTACGCGCCTTTAAACACATGAGCATCCCCACTGAACTCAGTGGGACTTCTGACACGTTATGCACACGTGCAGGGTCCCAGTCTAATGTTCCCCGGTGTCACCCACCTGCCCATTTTACAGATGTGAGGCGTGATGCACTGAGAGGTGAAATGCCTTACCCAAAGTCACAGCGAGTCGATGTCAGCGCGGTGAGTCCCCGACTCCTCATCTAACCACAGCTCCCACCAAAGTTGTTGCTTGCCAGCCACAGATATTATCTACAACTTCCTTTAATGTGGCAGGATTTCTCCCTGCATGATTCCAGCCGGATGCGCTGCTGCTGTTTAGGATCTACCGTCTCTCCGGGTGGGAATTCGCTGAGAAGGAAATACAGGGAGAACCAAGCAATTACGAGCACACGCAAATGGAGCTGCCTTTTGCAGATTCTCTGTTTAATGGAATCTGCTTTGGATTACTTCACAGGCATCCCTGACCTCCCCCCGCCCCAAAAAAAAATGGTTTGAGAGAAACTTATGGTCTTCAAGAAGTGTCTGCCAGGACACAATGGGCTGAACTTTCAAAAGAGCTCAGGGCCACGTTTGCAAGGGCTGCTGCCCCACCGCCGGAGCCAGACTTTTAGAAGGGCTCAGCTCCCATTGGGACTCTTATATGCTAGTTTTCCAAAGAGTCCAGCATGTCGAGGTACCGAGGGCACGGGAAATCCACAGGTGCTGGAATCGTTTGAAACTGCCGACCAGCATGAGCAGCAGAAGTTCCCAAATCACCCTGAGTTTATTTAGCAACCAATCGATCCTTCCCTTGGCCAAACGAGGCCGTGAGCGCCTAAGGGAAGAAGGAACTGAATCCAAGTGGGCTTGGAACAATCCGTGCAAGTAGTTCACCAAGGGAACACCCATCTCTGGCCTAGGGAGAGTGGGTTCTGGGCCTGGTCCTTCGCTGGTTTGCATCTCGTGCAGTCACGTACACCTGTGCGAAGTGGGAGCTCGGATAACACAAGTTGCAAGGCCAGGGAGTATCAGGTTCATGGTCTCCAGGCCAAATTCAGGCCTGGTGCAGCTCCATCAACCTGCTCTCAGTTTGTCTACGTATGATTATTCAGTCCTGGCTTTCATCCACTGTTACCAATGGGTGCTCAGATCTGCCTGCAGGGAGGTCCCATGGGGATTGTGTGTGTGTGTGTGTGTGTGTGTCACGGCCATGTTTTCAATGACCATTCACTCCTGAACACTGCCCCGCTCTGGACTGACTGCATCTGTGTCCTGAAGAGGTCACCTTCTCCGGCAGAGGGGGGGAATCAGCTTCGGTTCATTTCGAACCCTGCTCCAACTTTGTTAAAGGTCCCGATCCAGCACAGATGCTTCCCTTTAAACACAGGAGAGGCTCATTAAAGTCAATGAGGGGACCAGGCACACCACGTATTTCTGTGTTTGCAGGATCGGGGCCAAATTCAATCGATGTATAGTTTTAAAAGCCAGAAGGGGACCATTATATCAGCTGGTCTGACCTCCTGTGTCACAGGGGCCGAAGACGTTGCTCCTGTATTGAGCTTAATAACTGGTGATAGATTTTCAGCAGCACTTGGGTTGGACTCCCGACCTCATCCTCTTCCAAACCAAATTATATGACGGGTCCCCCAAGGAGGATGTTATCCAAATCTATACTTCACAGCTATGAGAAATCTTTCTAGAGGCCAGAACTTTACGTTTTTCTCGCTCTTTTTCACGGAGATTAAAAAAACCCAAATCGGACCATCTTAAATTCAAAGTATTTTTATTAACACGATATATACAGTTTTGTCCACTAACAAAGCAGAAAGGATGTTGGAACAAAGCCCTGACTCTAGAAGGAGCTCTTTCTCCTCCCCCAATCCCGCAGCCAGGTTAAAGAAAACTCTTGTTTTGGTCAACTTTATACATATGAACCTTCTGTACACGTTGTTTTCCCCTCATCTGCCCTTATATGAACAAGGCAACATAAATAGGAATCCTGGGACTGTACAACACATGAGAACGCTTCTTAAAACGGCAGCTTTTAAAAAAAAATATGATTATTTTTTTAAAAAATATCCAAGAATGGTTTTTTTGTTTTTTTTTTTCCTTTTTGGTTGTTGTTTTGTCAAAAAAATAGGCATTCTACTTTGACATTAGCTTAACTGACGTGTGGAGAGCACTGTTAGAACACTTCAACCGTTAACAGGATCATTTGCTGTTTCAAAATAACTTAAATCATTCCTGAAACACTTTAAATATTTTTTGCATTTTTTTTTTAAATAACCTCTATTTATTTTCCGAGAATCCTAACACAAGGTCAGAGTCTCAACTTGCATAAGTCAGTGTGACTTCCCTTGATCTCAATGCAGATTTACACCAGTTGGGAATCTGGCCCGGAGGGGCAAAATTCTCCTCTAACCCTGGAGTAACTCTGGATTTACCCTGGTGTTACTGAGATCAGAATCTGGCCCTCATCCAGTACTGAGATTCTGGAACTCCAGTTTGCACCAGCTGATGAGCGAACACACAATTCTGCTGTGTAAACCTGGAGTAAAGCTAGATTTACACTGGTGTAGATGAGATCAGAATTTAGCCCTTCCCCACTGCTAGGCTTTTGGTCCTCTCTAACAATGGTCCCTTCAATAATGTTATTAAATGTTTATATAGTGTCCAGTTCTGTACAATAGACATAGCTAAGAATCGACTTTATTTAGAATATAGAGAATTTTTTTTTTAAAGACTACAAAGTGTGGCATCTCTTATTGCATTTAGCTTAAATTGTGCTTTCATCTCCAGTCTGACCCTTGCAAGGGTGGATGAGAGGGAAGATGCAGAGACAATTATTTCTCTCTCTCTCTCATCTGGGCGTGTAGAAAAATCCTACCCGATGTGGATGAAGCCAAGTGGTTTTTTGAAGTCCCGCCAGCTGAGATGTTCTTCCAGAGTCCTCAAGGAGACACCCCACAAACAGCTCGCCCGGGAAGGTAAAAAAACCAGTTGTGCTGTTCTTGGACGCTTGGAGACGAGTCGTGTCTCTTGGCCTCTGTCCAGACGAGAGGTGAGTCTCTGGCAGAGAGCTCCAGATGGAAGAAACTTCCCATTCACTGTGCCTGGCGGTGGTGGGTGGGATGGTGGTGCAGGGGGGCCGGGGACCCCGTGGAAAGTCAGAGTGGGGTGAAAAGGAATTGGCAATTCTGAATCTTTCCCGAAAAATAAAAATCCAAAACCTCTTCCCCGACCCTGCCCCCCACCCGCTGCCACTCCTGCCTCGCTTGTGGGTCGTCCTCTGATCGTTTTAACCCTTTGCAGCTCTGCTGGTCGCGAGACAGGCTGGAATGTTTGTGTGTGTCTGCCTTTGTCCTGGAAACAAACCCACGGTTTAAGAAGGGTCCGGCCGCGGCGGTGATGATTTCCTCTTGCTCCCCTGGTCCGAGGAGGCCGGAGGTTAGTACACGGCCCCCGGATTGGGAGGCCCGGGAGATGTATGATGCATGGTGTTAGTGGGCAAAGCTTGATGCGGTAAGTGAGGTCCACTGAGGTTCTGGTGGTGGTACCAGGGGTTGTGCTGCTCTTCCAGGTAGCTTGGGGAAGAGCCGTAGGGGAGCTGCTGGGAGAGCTGGTTCCTGCTGGAGGGGTTGCTGTGAGAGTTACTGTCCCAGAGGGCAGGAGAAGGCGGAGAATTGCAGGCCATGGAGTCGCTGTTATTGGGGCTGTGTTCCGAGGGTACTTCCCCGTTTTTGTAGAGCTTCTTGAACTTGGATCTCCGGTTCTGGAACCAGATTTTCACCTAGAGACGGAAGGAAGGGAGGGAAGTGTTACTTTCTGGGTCCCTTTGACGTACACCACCGAAGGGAGGCGGGGGGAAACAGGGGACAAATGGAGTGGCGCGTGAACAGAAATGTCGCCGTGTGGGCGGATTTGCTTCTCTGTTTAGCCTAAGGTGCAGGGAGGGGTTTGTCCCCAAAACAGGTTGTCGCTTTGACAGCTAATGACAAGTTCCTTTGGACATTTATAAGTGGCCCTGTTGCTACAAAAGTCACCAGGGCAGGCAGGACAGTGATGAAACTAGGACGGGGCAAACCTGCTGTGGTTCATTTCAAAGACTTTAGTGGGTTCCTGTTCCACTTAAAGAGCTGCTGGGGAGAGGAGGAGACAGAGAGAGAAATTGAGGGGTTGGCGAGGAAGAAGGTGGGTGAGATGGAGAAGGCAGATGTATCCAATGTGACGGGGAGAACCAGGAAGGAGAAGATAGGGCAGCCAACAAAGAGCCAAACAAACATTCGGTGTTGCCAAATCCTCGCAATGTCTGGTGTTTTTGTAAAGCCCCAGCTCCTCGCATCCTGTGATTAAGTGAGACGCTCCGCTCTCATTTCAAAATAAAGTTTCTAGCCCTCAAGGTGGCAGAGAAGAGCTTGTCAACATGGCCAGACTGTTCACAACAGGCTCAACCCCCCCCCAAAATAACCCTTACAAGAAATCTCATGAGTTTTAAGAGGAGCTTGTGATTTGGGGGAGAGGCCTGACTTATGATTTCTGAACACTTGGGGTTGGCACCAAGGTCACGCCAATCTGGGTCTATGCTGGTTATGTGATAGGTATGTCTCTCTTCATCCTTGCAACCGATACCTGTAATCCCTCATAACTCAAGCCTGACCCCAGAGGTACAGTACCTTCCCTCTTCACTTGTGTCTATTTAATTTTAAACATGTACTTTAATAAAAAAATTATCTGTATATGGAGCATCCACGCCTTATGCCATATATGGGGCACTCCTCCTCAATTTAAGGGGATCTTTCCTGCACGATACACACCCCACTAGAAAAGCACAGAAATCATAAATCCCCCCTGGTGACCCAAGGGACTAAATGAGTGTGCAAACACAAGCTAGTATTTTAATGCCCCTGAAAAGCCCTGCTTTCCAAGTCCAGAGACCCTCCAGATCCCATGCCCCATTAAAGCTTTGCTGGCGTTTCCTTTGTTTCCAGAGATAAAAAACAGTTTGCAGTGCAGAATCCCTAACCACTTTAAAACAAACAAACCAACAACAACAACCCCCCCTAACAAATCAACCCCCTTTTAAAGAAGGGAATCAAAAAGAAACAGCTCCCCATCATGTCGCAATCACTCAGAGGGCGGAAGGCCCTCATGGTACGGAACATCTGCTCTCGGGCTAACAGCCCACGGAAACACGCTGACCTGGAACTTTATTTAGATCTGGGCAACTAAAAATCAACCTCTTGTCACCATCTCTGACCAGCCCCACATTCCTAACTCCAGCGATGCTCCTGTTGACATCAGCGGAAGCCCGGCCTGTAAGGGACAGCAGAAGCAGCCCTTTACTCGGACCACCACTTGTTAGGGGTGGGGCTGGATGTGACTTTCCTCAGAGTTTGGAGGTGTTCCAATTTCCGGGTGAGGGGTAAGGGGGGTTCACTCATCTCAGATCTGGAGGTGGGGGGAAGCTGTTCAGACTCCTTTCTCTTGATCTTTCCCTTTACAAAGAACAGTCACTAGCGTCACAACAGCCGGCCACCCACACGTAGATACTGTAGCATTCTATTGCGACGCTCACGTAAGGGTAGAGGAGTTGGGCATAATCTCTTTTGGACTCCACTATTTCAGGTTTTAACTTTCTATCAATGGAACTGAGGCGCCTAAATACCTTTGAGGTTCTGGGCCTAACGTATTACAAGACTCTTAAAAAAAAAAAACCCACACACCTGTAAGAGCTTGACCATATTCACAAGCGCAACACGCATGCAGAGAAATGGGGTCTACACTAGATTACCCCTAACTAAAACCCCACTGACCCAAGCGCTGTTAGCATCCATAGATCTGGTCCTACCCATTCCAGCCGAAAGGCTGCTCTGGTATAAATTAGTGGTTGAATTCTGAAGAGACAATAAAAAATAAAATATCCAGACAGGACCCAAAGATCCATCACTGCCCAAATTGAGGAATGAATACTTCTTCCTGGTTTGCTAGGTCAACTAGATCAGTGGTTCTCAACCTGTTGTCCGCAGATGTCTAGGGGGTCCACGGAAGGTTGTCGCTATGACCCCTGGGGGCCCTCCGACGATGTCTAAGATTTCCAAAGTGGGCCCGCACCTCCACTTGAAATTTTGTAGGGGGCCGCAAATGAAAAAAGGTTGAGAACCACTGAACTGGCCTCTCTGGCCCACCAGAGCCAAACCGTGCCGGGAATCCAGTGAGTAGACACAGAGGGGAAAGAACTCCGAATTGAAGTTGGTTCTATGGACCTGATCCAAATCCGTGAGCTATAGATTGGGCCCTGAACCTTTAAGAACTGCTCATCTTGGGGGAGGGGGAGAAATCTCCCCAATGGGGGGGCGGAGAGAAGAAACCAAACCAATCCATTTGAATTTATCTGGTCCCAATTGGGATAGCTGGGGTAAATCAGGAGTAACCCTAAAGTCAATGCATTCACACTGATGAGCGCAAAGAGGATTGGGACTCTCTTTTCCCTCCCCGTGGTTGAGCACGGCAGTAGGAAATGTATCCAAAGGCCTGGAGAAAACCCACCTTTTTGTTCCCACTGTCTCAGACAGCCGGTCCCTGTCTGATTATGTAAGTGCTTTAATCTAAGCCCACTAAACCCAGGGGCTGTACAGAGTTGGCAACAGGTGCATGCTCTCTCGCTCCCCCCCCTCCCCCCCGCGCACAGAGGGGAAAGGTGGTTTGTTCTTTTTGAAGTTACCTGCGTCTGAGTCAGCCCCAACTGAGCAGCCAGCTCGGCTCTCTCGGGGAGGGCCAGGTACTGAGCCTTTTGAAACCTCCTCTGCAGAGCCGCCAGCTGGTAGCTGGAGTAAATGGTTCTGGGCTTTCGGATCTTTTTGGGTTTCCCGTTGACCATCCTCACCTCCGGTTCCGGTTCTTCCTTCACCGAGACTGGAAGTGAAAAGGGAACACGTCAGAATCTCATCAGCTGACCTGCCCCCGTCCTCCCCGCTCCAGAAGCTTGTAAAAAACAACCCAAGTCTTTGGAGGTGGTTTCTGACCCTTATCCCTACTGGGGAGAGAGAAGGGGGGTGGGATTTAAACCTCTATCTAGAAAACTTCACCTCCCAGAGCACACCAGGGCTGTGGAGCTAGAAGTGACAGGGCCCGGCCGGCCTGGGCGAAAGGACTCCAGAATTGTATGTACGGCGAGTTAGAACAATCGTAGACGAGTTAAGGGCTGATTACTTGGAGAAGTCGCTGTACAGACCCCAGGTAAAAGATTTCAGGAACACAGCAAGACTGGGGTGTTTGGGGGGGTTGTTCTTTAGCACGTGAGGTCTTTCATTTCTCTCTCTCCACCTCTGTGTTTTCTTCTCTCTCTCTTTGGTGTGTTTTTCTCTTTCTCTCTCTCTCTCTCTTCATTTGGTACATTCTGTCTTGCCTTTTCCCTCTCCTGTCCCTGGCCACTTCTTCCTATGGTCCATTTCACGAACTCCCCAAACTCCCCTCTCACCCCAGCCTGCCTGTTTCTCTGCCCAGGGGCTCCCCACCTGGTTCTGATCTGCTGAAAACCGACTGGTTCTCAGCGTTGGCCCCTCTCTTCCTCTCCCAGCCCGTAGGGTGGGTTGTGACAAGCCCGTCTCTAAAGCAGCCTCAGGTCCCAGCTGCCTGGCTGGTTCCCAGGGAAAGGGAGGGGAGAATTGTTCAGTAAGTGGAAATCAGCGTAGGATCGATTTCTCCCTCTCCCTGCATCCCTTTCTTTTAGGGCAACAGATTCAAGGCTTCTCTGATCTTCCTGCTTTCCTATAATCTCCCAGCACCTCAGACTCGCTTTAAAAACCACAAGATTATTCACAAATCAAACACTGTCCCACCCATATTTCCCTCCCCCAGAGCTGCAACCTAACCATCATCTTCCTGTCCAGTCATGACATGGGTCATTCTCTCTGCCCCAGCAGCCTGAAAGAGAGACAACCTATTTCCCCCCCCAAAAAAGGTTCTCCTTTTTCATCAACTAACCTGAGTTGTTCTGAAGTTTCTTAAGATTTCAGGGGCAAAGGTGAGTGGGGGAGAGCTGCGTGTGTGTGTGTGTGGGGGGGGGGGATTGGGAAGGGTAAATAGCCACCCTGACTGGTGGCACAGAAAATAAAGGTCAGGAATTTGCCAGAGACAAAGGGAGGGAGAGTGTGTGGGTGGGTGAGAAAAGCAATCTTTTACATCGGAGCCGGAATTCAGAAAGTTTTGTGTGGAAACCTAGATCTAGCAAACAAGCCCCCCCACCCTCAGCAACTCCCTCCCTCCCACCACCCCCCTTTTGTGCAATCCAAGAGGCAGTCGTGTGTGTGTGTGTGCGTGTTATTGACAAGAACTTCCCTCTCATTCGAATACACGGCCATGGGGGAAGGAAGAGCTGTTGCTGACTCCAAGAAGTGACTCCTTTCCATACCAGCCCCCCCATCTCCAGACATCCACCCCCCACCCCTGTCCCCCTGGATCACTAGGGTAGGGGGCTCCTTACCTGCTTCCTGGGCCGGCAGCTGCTGCTCCCTGAAATGCCCATACTGCCTGTAGGAGGGGCTGTAGGGGTACTCGGCCTTGGGGGGGTAAGTCCCAGCCCCCGCGAGCCCGTTGAGGCCGAACTGGTGGTGGTAGGAGTAGTGGTTGACGGGCTGGCTGTAGGGCTGGCTGGGGTAGTAGTCGTGCTGGCTGTGGGGGGCGCTGTAGTAGCCCAGGTCGGTGACCGAGGACTCGGGCAAGGTGGGGGAATCCTTGGAGCAGCTCAGGGAACTGGAGAGGTCGGTCAGGATGCTGGTGATCTTCTTGTCAAAGGAGCCACTCATGGTGCAGCGGGAGGCAGGGGCAGGTGGGATGCGGTCCCCTCCCCTGGCCAGAGCCTGTGGAAAAGCAAAAGAGCCGCTGGGGCGCGCGTGTGGGTCTCTGTCACTCCCCAAAGGGGTCAGGCGAGCATTCCTCCTCCGGGCCAGCCGCTGAGAGCTCCACGGGTGGCGGCTGCTACGAGGCGACTAAGCAAAACTCCCCAGCCCAGCCAGCCTGCTTCAAGCCTTTAATTATGGTGCAGGGCAGGGTGGATGCTGCGTGCCGATTGGCTCCAGAAATATTGCCTGGGAGGCAAAACAGACTTTTTTTTTTCTTTTCTTTTCCTTTTTTTTTTTGGAACAACAAAGAGTGGGTGAAAAAAAAAAATTAAAGCTCCCAGCCGCCCTGTCTGCCGAACCTCTGCAGGGAGCCAGGGGGCCGCTGCGGGGCCCAGCCCCAGATCTTGGGCTATAGGGGGAGAGGGTCTATAAGTCCCTGGGGGTCCGGAGGGATATATGGAGATGGGTGTGGGTGGGTGGGTGGGGGTCCTTTGGGTGTCCATAAGAGCATGTGTGCGTAAGTGCCAAGCTGGGGGGTGTTTTTAGGGGTGTTTGTGGCTAGGGCTCCGGGTAGGTCTGTGGGGGGCGGGGGAGTATGTCTAAAGCCATCTGGGTAGGTCTGTGGGGGGTGTCCACGGGGGGGGGGTCTGTCTGTGTAGGACTCTGGGGAGCAGCTAGAGAGGTCTGTGTAGTCTGTGGGATGTACATATGTCTATAGGGGTCTGTGTAGATTGGGGAGGAGTGTGTCTGTAGGGGGTCTGTGTAATTTTGTGGGGACATAGACTGTAGGGGTTTGTGGAGATCTGAGTATGTCTATAGGGGTCTGTGTAGGTCAGTGGGGGTGTCTGTAGGGGTCTGTGTAGATCTGGGGGTGTCTATAGGGGTTTGCATAGGTCTGTGAGATGTCTGTGTAGGTCTGTGGGGTGTCTGCGTAGGTCTGTGGGTGGTGTCTGTAGGGGTCTGTGTAGGTCTGTGGGGTGTCTGCATAGGTCAATGGGGGGTGTCTATAGGCGTCTGTGGGATGTCTGCATAGGTCAATAGGGGTGTCTGTAGGGGTCTGTGTAGGTCTTTGCGGTGTCTATAGGGGTATCTATATGGGTCTGTGGGGTGTCTGCATAGGTCAATGGGGTGTCTGTAGGGGTCTGTGTAGGTCTGTGGGGGTGTCTATAGGGGTCTGTGTAGGTCTGTGGGGGGTTACTGTGTAGGGTACCTATAGGGGTCTGTGTAGGTCTGCGGGGGGTGAGATGTCTATTGGGGTCTGTGGGGGTGTCTACAGGGCTATGTATAGGTCTGGAGGGGGTTTTGTGGGAGGCTGTGTGCCGGGGTGGATGAGGGTAACCACGTCCATGGGGTGCCCATTAGTTAAAGCTCTGGGAGGCTTTGTCCCTGCCCTTAACCCACCCCCCAAACGTGCCCAAGTTTCCAACAGCAGCAACCCGGGCAGGTGGCCTCTTGCCAGCCTGGCCGCTGCCCTTCTGGGCCTAGCTATGGGTTTGCTCCTAGCTCCTGTTTGCTCCTCTCATGAGAACATCTGCTCCTGGAGTCCTTTCGCCCAGGCCGGCCTGGCCCTGCCACCAGCCCTGCGGCATCCTTCAAGGGCAAACCTCCTGTGCTGAGCTCCAGGGGCTACCGCTCCCAGGACTGGGGATCCTTTGGTCTCTCCCCACTGCCGTGGGGCCTAATCTGGCATCTGAACTTTCATTTTCCCCTCCAAAATCAGATAACTAGAGCTAGCGGGCTTCACTACAGCCCTCCATATGCCCTGCTTTGAATGGGCCATACTCCTCCTATAACGCCCCGGCCTGCTAGGGGCACATTCGTTTTGCAGTCAGAACTCTTGGGGAAATCCTTGCATTCCCCCTTCTCTTCAAAAGGGGACGGGGCATAATTAATGTGTTTCTCTGTTAATTCATGACCTTGTTTCGTCATGTGCTTCTCCACTCTGAATGGTCCGGGGGGAGGCCGGTTCGGAAAGTCACTGGTGGCCCATTTTATTTCTCTTTCCAGAGAGATCTCCCCGTTTTTTCCTTCTCTCTATTCCCATCTGAGCACACACCGGCCTTCAGTCTCTACCTGTGTTTCCCTTCCCTAAAACTCAGATACAAACTCTCCTCTTGAGTATTGGCCCTGCAAAATACAGCCTGCCTGGGATGCACAGTGCAATTCCGCCACCTGCTGGCCAGTCTCCGGCACTGCAGCCCCTGTGTTCTCAACAGGTCCCATCCTCCTGGGAAGTAGGGCAGTATTTAAAAACTTTTATTACAGCTAATGTTTAAAATCAAGCTTACACAAGTTAAGAAGGAAGGTACTGTACATCTGGGGTCAGGCTTGAGTTATGAGAGCTAACAAGTATCGGTTACAAGGTTCACAAGATACATACATAGTACAGAACCAGATCGGGGTACAGGAGTTTTACACTCGATTCAAAACCCATCCATGTCTTGTCCGGGCTTTTTAAAAACCAAATGTGTGGCCTTGGCTCCAGATGAGGAGCACACTCAGGAAAACAGCAGCGAAAGAATCTTGCAGGGAGGTCGGATTTTTTTTCTCTCTCATCGCACAATAAATATTTATAATCCCAGTTTCAAGTTTGCACGTTGGTATTGAATTAAACTGAGAGATGGGAATAAATTAGAGCTTCAAAGGAGCACAGACACCTGAGCTTGGCGTATTTAGTTGATCCAAGAGAAAGTTAAGAGGTGACGTGATTGTGGTCTATAGCGGGGGGGGTCCTCAACCTTTTTCTTTCACCCCCCCCCCAACATGCTATAAAAATTCCATGGTCCACCTATGCTACAACAACTGTTTTTCTGCATATCCAGTAGATTAAAAGCCATCGGTGTTAGGGGGTAGCACGCAGGGCAGTTGCCCAGGGTCCCATGCACAGGGGGCCCCACGAAGCTACATTGCTCAGGCTTCAGCTTCAGCCCTGGGTGGTGGGACTCAGGTTTTGACTTTCTGCCCTGGGCCGCAGTGAGTCGAAGGCCGACCCCTCTCTGGTTGGCAGACCCCCTGAAACCTGCTCCTGGACCCCCAGGGGGTCCCCGGCGCCTCATTGAGAACCACTGGTCTGCAGCTAACTCCCTGGGGAAGAGATTCCAGAGAATAGCAGAAAAGGGCATAAGGAGAGCCTATGGCTGGAAGATGAAGCTAGACAAATTCCGACTAAAAATAAAGTGCATGTTTTTAACTGCGTAATTAACCACTGGAACAACTTGTCTAGGGACATGGAGGACTCTCCATCTTTAAATAAAGCCAGGAGCTGTTTCTAAACAATATGGAGGCTTGGCAGAATTCAATTTTTATTTTTTTATAACGTGGACAGCTAATACCAATGTTTATTTTTAAGCCCTTTTTTATTTTGATCTATTTACATTTTTGCAGCTGTGAGAAATGATGGGGTTTAAGCATTTTTCTGGCCAATTTAAGTGTTCACAGTCGCGGGTAATTACCAAAGGTGGAGGGGGTCAGACAATGGGGGGAGGGGGGACAATCATTATTTAGTAGCGGAGATTCAGAAAGTTAAAGCTTTGTAACTGTTAAAGCAGCCTCAAAATATACAAAGTCAATATCCTTTAATCCCTAATAACGTTTTAGGAAGCATTTTGCCTGTCTGTACTTTTAAATTATGATTGATGGGGGGGAAAATTAATCCGTTCGTGTGCGTGTACAGGGACCTTTACCGATACAAATCGAATCCCTCCAAGCCTAGCAACGTGCTATCGGTCAAACGGAAGTTAGGGACTTGATGCGGGAATTACTGGGTGAGATTCTCTGGCTTGTTATGCAGAAGGTGAGACTAGACAATGGCCCCATCGATAAATAGGTCTAGCTGGGATCAGAAGCACTTTCCCCTGCTTTGTATTCCAGTTTTTACTATCTGTATGGCAGTAACACCCAGGAGCCCGAGTCATGGCCCAGGCGCTCCCTGCGCTTGGCGCTGTACAAACACAGAACAAAGACGTGGTCCCTGCTCCAGCGCGCGAACGATCCAAGTATAAGACAAGAGACAACAGGCGGATACAGACAGACGGGGGAGTACAAGGGAACACAGTCCAGAAAGTCAGAAATTCTCATGGGACAGCAGCGATTCTGTTTGCTAGCCCAGGGGCTGTCATGATGTGTGTGGCCAGTAGTTACAAGACTGCGGCATGTGTAGCCACGTCTGTGCACAGCAAAAAAAACATCTGGCACATTACATCTTTTGACCTGCACGGCAGTAAAAAAAATCCAGACAGGCCAGTTAAAAATTGGCCAAGTGGCAACCCTATATGTAACGGGGGGGGTATAGCTCAGTGATTGGCCTGCTAAACTCAGGGTTGTGAGCTCAGTCCTTGAGGGGGCCACTTAGGGGTCTGGAGCAAAATCAGAACTTAGTCCTGCTAGTGAAGGCAGGGGGCTGGACTCCATGACCTTTCAGGGTCCCTTCCAGTTCTATGAGATAGGTCTATCTCCTTATATTTATTTATATGAGTACCCAGAGACGCCAAGTGGCAGCTCATTGTAATGCCGGACGTAGGGTGACCAGACAGCAAGTGTGAAAAATCGGGACAGGGGATGGCGGGTAATAGGAGCCTATATAAGAAAAAGACCCAAAAATCGGGACTGTCCCTATAAAATCAGGACATCTGGTCACCCTAGCCGGACGCCAGCCTGGTGGGACTCATACACAATCCATTCAAAGGGATCCACTCTCAGAACAATGGGTCTGCTACAGGGAATGGTCAGTGCAGGGAAGTGGACTTCCCAGTTTGGTCTGGGGTTGGGGGAGGGGAGTAGGGCCCCACCCCCCAACTAAACCACCTGACTGAGGTTCTGAAGCTGACCAGTGATGTCACATGACACAGGGGACTGAAACTTTATTTAAGGGCAGGTTCTGCTTCACTGCCTCTCAATGGCCAACCATCAGCCAATGATAGAAGCAGGACTGCAGGAAAGGCTTCCCGTGACCTGAACTTCTCTGCAGAAGGGGTGAGTAGTTTCTCCTTCGGGGGGCAAAGCACATGGGGCC